CAAACGGAATTAAACCTCACATCAGTAGAAGACAAGAGTTAAAGGAGACATGATTACCACATATAAGATATTCTTGTATTGACTAGGTAGACAAAGAGATTATTTTGGTACACGAACAAGGGGAAAGACAAATAGAAACTTTGTACCCAAATGAGCCACAGAGACAAAAAAAAATGTTTTGACAGTGTCAGAGAAGTTAATAAATGGAATGCATTAGGCAGTGATGTGGTGTAGGCTGACTCCATACACAGTCTCCAATGTAGATATGATAGAGTTTAATAGGTCTCAGGAACCTGCACACCAGCTGATTGACATTTGAGAGGCGGGACCAAAGAGCCGAAGCTCAACCCCACGCAAGCACAAGTAGGTGAGTACAGACACACACACACAGGGGCGTGCTAAGCAAAGCCGTGCTAATAGGCCTTGGCCACATGGAAAATGTATGCCCCATTTCAAACTTTTAATTAAACGTTTTTGTAAACTGCTATATACATATGAGTTTTGTATGAGTGTATACATGTGTATACATGTAGATGTAGTGTACATGGTGTACTTACAAATAACACAACAAAAAATAAAAGACTTATAACAATGACTTATAACAATGGTATAATGGCACGGAATTGCATTCAAGTAGGCCTCCTCAAAATCGTAGGCTTATACTACTGCACTACTGTTATCACTACTGCAGTCGCTATGAAATCCAAGGTTTATGTGAACGAATGTCTTACCAGATTCAGACAAAATCTCTTATATAAACTACGTGGAATTCGCAATAGATCCACTGCTATTAAACATTGTTTTGTGCGCGATGGTAAAATAATAGCTAGGAAGACTGACTCTGGAAAAACTTATGTCATAACCACTGAAGCACACCTCACTTCTTTCCTGGATGACTGTGGGATATCAGCTGAATAACCAGAACATAATTTGTAGTCTCACATACAACCAAAGTGTACTTAAGCTCTGCCTTTCCTTTCCAAAGGTGTTTATTTTTATTTTTATTGTTTTATTTTTTATTTTTTGTTTGTCATCTTTGCCTGTTTTATACTCTTAATTATTTGTTCTTAGTTAATCCCCTTGTCACTAAACCTAGGGCTTTTTATTACCCTGTTAATTAACCATTACTAAGCTAATTATCTTCAAGATCATTTTTTTTATGATTATCATTTTTCTTATTATTTTTTATTTTACATTTATATTGTCAGTCTCTACTGATTTTTTGTTGTTTTATTTTATGTAACTTCTGTGTCCTTCCTGGCTATCTATTGGATCTTTATTTTACTTCTAAATTGTTACTATTTTATTGTATTTGCTCTTATTCTTGTGTTTTGCTTTATCGTGTATCTTGTATCGTGATCCCTCTGCATCCTATGCACACTGATATTGATCCTGATCAAAATCTTCTGTCTCATATCTACACCAACCAGCACATTGATCATCATTATTGCAAGTATTTCACAGCACACCAGGCTAAAAACAAACTTCAAAATAGCACCTGTCTATCACTTTATAACCAAAATGTTAGATCACTTGGTAAACATTTTGACGATTTAAATGCATTACTCACAGCAATAGGTACTAACCTATCGTTCATTATTTTAACAGAAACTTGGCTAAATAAAGATTATACCCAACTCTACAACTTAGCTGGTTATAAAGCCATTCATAACTGTAGGCCTAATAAAAAAGGTGGTGGCACAGCTATATATTACCGAAATACATTTATCTGCAACAGTGTTATTAGTGACAGAGATGACTACTGTGAATATACTTTTGCTCAGTTTACAATTAAATCCCTTAAATCTTCTTTGACTATTGGAGCCATCTATAGATTTCCTAATACTAACATAGCTTCTTTCTCAGACAACCTAAGGAATCTTATTATAAACAACAATCTCAACAAAAACCACTTCATTCTGGGAGGAGATTTTAATATTGACCTGGGTCAACAAAATTGCTCTCAAGTTGACTATTTCCTTAACAGCATGAACTCCTGTATGCTAATCCCCACAATCACCAAACCTACCCGAGTCACTCAAACATCAGCCACTACCTTGGACCACATATGGACAAACATAACAGCTCCCCTTGTATCTGGTATAATCTACGACAGAACAACTGACCACTATCCTACCTTTCTCATAGCGAACATGGACATAACACCACCAAAAAGCAAGAAACTTTCATTTAGGCTACACAGTGAATCAGCTTTAGACAATCTTACAGAGGCACTTTACAATATTAACTGGGATTCTGAATTCAATAATACCCATGATATAAATTCATTAGCTAACCTCTTCATTTCCAAAACTCTAAGCCTCTACAACATTCATTGTCCCCTTCTTACCAAGCAAGTAACTGACAAAAGATTAAACAATCCATGGCTCACAAGTGGCATTCTCAACTCAATCAACAAGAAACATGAATATGAAAAGAAACTTAGGATTGGCCTAGTTTCAAAGGAAGTAGCTAAAAGGTACTCATCAATGCTTACCAGTATCATAAGAAAGGCAAAACTTGCATATTATGTGAATAGATTCAATGAAGCAAAAGGCAACATGAAAAGCACTTGGAAAACTATCTCTAGTATCCTAGGAACTAAACAACACTCACATAACCAAATAAAACTCTACAAGGATGGGGGTATACCGTCAACTGACTTAGAAATGGCAAATGAATTTAATAGTTTCTTTTCATCGGTTGGTGCTAATCTTGCCAGTAAAATCCCACAGACTCAGACACATATCAACACATATCTCTCAGGCAGCTATCCAAACTCTCTTCTCCTTTCACCAATCAGCCCGGCAGATGTTGTGTCCATCATACATTCTCTAAAAACCAAGGCAGGGAACACCAGTGAAATTCCGTCCATTGTGTACAAGAGAGCCTCCCATGCCCTTGCCCCACCCATAGCACTACTGTTCAACAAATCTATAGAGTATCACACCTTCCCTGATATCCTCAAAAAAGCAAGAGTAACGCCAGTCCATAAAGGAGGCAATCCGGCGGACATAAACAATTATAGACCAATATCAAATTTACCCATTCTATCAAAAATATTTGAAAAAATTATTTACAAACAGCTCTATTCCTACCTCGTAAAATTCGACATACTCAGCCCCTGCCAGTTTGGCTTCCGGTCCCAAAAGAGTACCAATGATGCAATCATTAGTCTCCTTGACATTATCTACTCAGCCCTTGACAAAAATGAGTTTCCGATTGGACTCTTCATTGACCTAAGAAAAGCCTTTGATACTGTTAATCACAACTACCTCTTACTTAAACTCCAGCATTATGGAATCCGAGGCCTTGCCCTTGACTACATCCGATCCTATCTTAGTGACAGACACCAATATGTAACCATCAATGATACAACTTCTTCCACTCTACCAATTACCGTTGGAGTGCCACAGGGCAGCATCTTAGGACCTCTTCTATTTCTTATATATATAAACGATCTGCCTAATGTCTCTAATATTCTCAAACCTATATTGTTTGCTGACGATACTACCCTTATCTACTCAAACCTCAACCCACATACACTAAATAATGTTGTGAATAATGAATTAAAAAAAGTCCACTTATGGATGTCAACGAACAAACTAACATTAAACATCGAAAAGACTTACTGCATCTTATTTGGAAGCAAATCATCAAATGCAATTCAGCTACAGATAGACAACATTAACATCAGTAATAAAAATGATGGCAAGTTTCTTGGCCTATTCCTAGACAAGAGACTCAACTTCAGCACCCACATTCAACACATAACTAAGAAAGTCTCTAAGACAGTTGGTATACTCTCCAAAATCAGATATTATGTTCCTAACTCTGCTCTCCTCTCACTATATTATGCACTAATCTACCCCTATCTTAATTATGGTATCTGTGCATGGGGGTCTACCACTGCAAACCACCTTAAGCCCATCATCACACAGCAAAAATCTGCTATCAGAATAATAACTAACTCTGCTTTCAGACAACACTCAGCTCCCTTGTTTAAATCCCTAAACTTGCTAAATATTAACTCCCTCCACACATTCTCTTGTGTCAACTACATTTACAAAACCCTGTTCTTAAATGCAAACCATGCTCTGAAACTCTCCCTGGACAGATGTAATAGGACCCATTATCACCACACCAGAAATAAATATCTCTTTGATATCCCCAGGGTCAAACTTAATCTGTGTAAACACTCTATGCAAATTAAGGGACCTAGTCTATGGAACTCACTCCCTAGTGAATTGAAAAACTGTAAAACTTTTGCCTTATTTAAAAGCAAAACCAAAAAGTACCTAACTTCATCTATTTAGTTTCCTACACTGAGCTTTAAATTTGCTCTGTACCTAGTGTTACCCAATCTCCTAATTTTTATGTAATATCAAACAACCTTATCATTGTGTTCATTGCTGTCTTCTTTTATGTGCTAGCCATATGCTGTATTGTGACTACCAATTTTTGTCAACTACCATTCAAGCTGTCATTGCAATCAATCTTATATTGTTTCTGCTGTATTGTGCCTACCAATTTGTTGTCAACTACCATTTTAAGCTGTCATTGCAATCAATCATAGCTACCTATGTGCTTTAATATACTGTACCTATAATTTTCTCTCATCTTTTTTTTTCATTCCATGTAATCTGTTATCATTTTTTGTCTATAAATTTTGCAAGTATTTACCTCCTTAAAATTTTCTTAGATTAAGGACCTGCCCGAAACGCTGCGCGTGCTAGTGGCTTTACAAGACTGTAATTACCATATTTGTATCCTCACATTCCTTATGTACATTCTTGTATATGCATAAATAAAATAATAAATAAAATAAATAATACAACTAGCCAACCTGCCCCCCCCCTCCCCACCCCTCTGTCCATGAAGGCCTGGGCACACCTACAAGGCTAGTCAAGCCGAACATAAAGTGCTTGAATTCCTCCTCACCTTCCCTTGTAACCCCTGATAGGTAAGACAGACAAGCACCGACGGGCCGAAGGACTCACCGCACGTGGCGCGCTTAGCAGTTGTCATGGTGACGCGTGTGTCCGTGGAGAGCCTTATACGAAGTACTCAGCGGAGGAGGAGAGGATCTCTGTGTATACTGAGAGGCTACCACATGACGGTGGGGCCCTGAGAGTCTGCTTGGTGAGCGATGGTGCGGGAGTCTGCCTGGTGAGAGATGGCGCAGGAGTTTGCTTGGTGAGAGATAGATGGCACAGCAGTCTGTTTGATTACAGATAACACAGGGAGTCTGCCGGTTTAGATGAGACAGGCGAAGTGTTCTTCACAGGAGGAAGACACAGAGGGAGGACAGACTAAGAGATCCTGACTCTCGAGGGGCCGTGAGCAGACTGACGGACACGACCCCCACAGGAGAACATGAGGGGTGAGAAGGGTGGGAGGGAGAGAGAGGAGGGGTGGGTGTGGGGTAGACAGGCGGGATGGGGGAGGGGCTCATGAGAGAGGGTACTATGAGGGGGGGAGACATCTACCATAACCAAAAGACTGGTAAGATCGCAGGTGTTCAATTGTATATTTTGACAAAAGCTTTCAGCCAGTGGAGAGAGGTTGGAGGTAGACATAAGGTGAAGATCGAGGGGGGGGGGGCAGTTTAGAGATAATTCAGGATGTTTATCACCTCCACTCTCTAGAACCTTTGAAGAAGTGAATAGAAAGGAATTGTTTAGCATGAACGAGAGTTGGCCGAGGCTTGCCCATTATATAGTCGTAATGGCTTTTGGCGCTTTCTCGTGATCGTTCCATTCCATTCCTCTCGACCAACTCTTGTTTATGCTAAACAGTTCCCTTTTATTCACTTCTTCAAAGCCTCTATGAATGTTATATATCGTGATCATGATACTTAAAATTCCATTTTCGGGCGTTTTGATATCTAATTCTTCCAGCCTTTTCTTGTAACTCAGTCCTCCAAGGTCGGAAACAATCTTATATTAACTCTTTGAATTTTATCTAACCTTGAATTCTGCTTTCTTAGGTTTGGATTCCACCCTGGGGCTGCATATTCTAACACTGGTCTAACATAGGTAGCATACATGCTGAAAGCTTCCTTGTCCAGGTGTCTGAAGGCTGTATTCGTGAGCATTGCATTCGCCACTGATGTTATCTCGTTAGTATGACCCTCAGTTAACAGGCTCGTGGCTACCTCTGATCACAAAACGGTTCCCTTTTGTGAGAAGCATTTGTCCTTCTCATCGTCGTATGGTTTCTCAGTAGTCTGCTCAAGTCCCCCCCCCCCCTCCATCCCATCTCAACCCTAATTGTATTGAATTTACTTGTATTAAAGTCGACCAGCCATTTCTCACATCATCTCATTCTAGGTTCTCCTGGATTATGCTGTGATCTTTCTGTTCTTATTCGCCACAATAGTTTATCATTGACATCCTACTCTGTTAGTTATGTCATTTTCATGTGTCAAAAACAATTGTGGTCCCAGAAAATATTAGATACGATAGAGATGTATTTTACCTGTCGAATAATGCCAAACAATTTTATAGTATGTGTTAGATATTAGATTAACAATCGGTATATTTGAATTCGCCTTCAGGAGAGGAAAAAAGAGACTGATGCGAAAGTAATATGACTTAAGAAGCAGCTAAGACAATATTATAAGATGCTAATAATAGTGTTGCACCAGTTACCTTCAAGAGACGAACTCTAAGAGTTGTTATTCTTCCCTACAAACTTGCTAAATCACATAAGTAATATTAGGGACGAATAGGGACGAACACACAACAAATATTAGTCACTTAAGTCTAGAATTAAGAGTATATAATCATCGAGCAGATAACATACGCGACGGTAAATGTCGTCTTATCTCCCGAGGTCCAGAGACAAGAGCAACATTCCAACATCAGTGGGTGTTTGTGGCGTTGCACAGCCATGCTTCAGAAGCCGGACACCGCCTCAGCCGAGGGCTGCCTTCCTACCGACTGCCCACACTATCCAGCGCTTGCCAAGCGACACCGACAATACTCTCCGGGCCACTCACTGGTAAATAACCAGTCAATCAGTCCCATCCTGGTGTCTTATCTCATTCATATGCCACACCAGTCAGTCCAAACACAGCTCCAAGCACCAGCAGGAGGGTATGACTATGCAGCAATTTTTATTTTGATCATTTAGTATGTGCCCCATACCCATCCAGTGGGGGGGTTGTGCTACCCATCCCGTGGGGTAGTTCAATCTATACCTATCCCGTGGGTGGTAGTACTATTAATCTCGTGGGCGGTAGTGCACCCCATACCCATATCGTACGTGGTAGTGCACCCGTAGATGGGTGGACCATCTACCTGGACCTAGAAACGGCATTTGATAAAAGTCCCATACAAGAAATTGTTCTGAGAGTTAAAGGACACTGGAGGTGAAACAGACTATTAGCCATAGAAGCACAATTTCTAACATGTAGAATGATGATTTAATTATCAAAAAACGCGCAAAGCCAGGGTGACTATGAAAGTCGCAAGATATTAAACAGTCACTAAATATCACAAAGGGTGCAATACGCGAACAAAAGCACATAAAGGGAGTGATATCAAAGGAATCAGATTCACCCAGGATTCTATCGAGGGACAGATGACCGCGAGGGACAGTCAGGAAGCAAGACACAAGCACGTCGTCCTGGAAGTCAGGACATTCAACAAGGATATACACGACCGTAAGAGGGACAATGTAGTTCAGACAATAAGGAGCAGGGCAGCGCTTTATTAAGTATCTGTGAATTAAACGTTTATGGCCAATACATAACCTCACCAGAGCCGTTTCCCACCACCGGTTACGGTGGAAGGAGGAAGGCCAAGGGAACAGACTACTCTTAAGAGCACAGAGTTTGTTATCAGTAACAAATCAACGACCCTGCCAACAGGCACAGATTGAAGAATGAATGATAGGGTAGAAGTCGAAATAAGGAACGTCTTTGCGGGAAATAGGACATGTGCAGATAGCCTCCATAGCAGCAGTGTCTGCACACTCATTTAAATAACACCAATATGGCTGAGAACACAGCAAAATTCGACTGTCTTAAATATATAGATAAAAATAAATGGGGACAAGAAACAGTCAATGTTGAATTTCGACTACCACAGGACGGATAGGATTAAATGACTCCAGAACCATGAAAACATTGCAAGTCTACAATGACAAACAATTGTTGAAAGCAGGAAGGCAGTTGACAAAATTGCATAATGTTCTGCCATGAAGATGCTAGTCTCTGGGGAGCAGGCTACACATATGGGTGTAGTTGAGAAATACAACGGAGTAGCCTACACCGTTGGCAGATTTAAGACCCATCTGTGAAGACGACAATGGCATAAGAGTGTGAAGAAAAGTGTGCAAGTTAAAGGAGTTTCAGAACTGTAGGAGTGGTAGAGGCCTTTGCCATGTGGGTTAAGGTTTTGCAAAACTTTGGGAGTGGGACCCTCCATGGGGGGTGGGCAAGGATGGAATGACACCAGAAATACTTGTAACATGAACTGAGACAGAATCTTGCAAGTGAGACAACCATACAGAAAAAGAAAGTTGGTGAAAGGAAACGGGGTCCACAGGAGAGGTAATGGTCAAGGCATGACAGTTGCTTTCAGAACTATGGAAAACTGAAGGGACCTACTATCAAGTGATTTTTACTATGCGAAGAGGCTGACGACGATGACCACGAGAGGGTTGACACAATGTAACAATCTGGTGGATAGAATGGCCTTGGACCTCAAGGATATATTTAATATCCGTGTGGTAGTCCCAGATCCCTATCACCACTCTCGACATGGTGCGGGAGAATAATGTCAATGCTGGCATTTAACCGGGCATTTTTAGAGATCCAAACTGGGGGTCTCACCTATGCAGGGCAACTCCCTTCTTGAGAAAGGGCTATGCTACAAGTGTTGCAGTACAGGTGGGGTTAAAAGTAACAAAGGTATCCACTGAATCAACTAGGCATTTCTGGATGAATAAATTTTCAGGATACATATGATCAACATGATTGATATCAAAATACTTATTCCACTTTTGCAGGACCAAACAAATCTTGGAATGAAGTAGATTGGGAAAGAATTGTGTGTGTTCGAGTGCAGAGGTGATGGCGCCGAGCACCCCCGGTAAAAGGTGCAGTTGCAACAAGAGAGGGAGCCACTCCAGGCGATGAGGTGGTCACCACAGGGGGCTTGGGGCTCAACCCTGCCATAGAGGTGGGAGGCAAGTAGAGAGGGTCAGTTGGGAGAGTCAGAAGCAGCTTGGTCTGGGCCCAATGTAGCCAGGATTACAGAGCCCGTCCCTCCATCACAGTCTGACTCGGGGGCCTGGTCACCCCCCCCCCCCCATAACTGAGAAGTAAAAAGAGGGTCAGAAATTGGCATAGAACAAATAATATGATATCATCCACAATTAAGCCCCCACACTTTACATGGAGCCAATTAGGGGATAGGGAACCCAACAAGATGGGGCCTTTCCTGGGGTGCATTGTGGTTATAACCATGCAATCATCACCTTAAGAACCGTCAGTCTATCGAAATCGGGCTCAGCAACGAAGGCAAGGTTTGACATAAAAGTTTCCCTTCACTCGACCACGTCAGGTACCGCAGTTCTGTGGGCGTGTGTGTGCCTTCTCAACTCACCCGGAGTCAAAACAGAAGACAACGGACACAATATTCAAGAATGGCACCAAGTTGGCAGGAAAGAATCAGAAAGGATAAAAGGTGGAAAGGAAAAATGAAACAAGAGGAAGAGGAAAAAGAAACCATCAAAATTTGTAAAAACAGCTACAGGAGCCTAAGGCTTCAAAAGGACAGTAAATGCTGTTCCATGGAGCATTACTTAAGACAGCCACCCACCAAGCCTCCTCAAGACAACAATGAGCTGGAAAGTGAGGGCAAATAATGATGATAGTGATTGGAGGCTGTGAATCAGGCTGGAGGGAAGTCAGTCGAGTTCTGCCTGGCTTAGTACTGTACTAGTAATGTTCATAGAATATATTAATGACCTACCTGAAAGAATACAGTTAAATAAACATGTGCGTGGAGTAAAAGACTTAGACGACTGCCATGCCCTTCAAAACGTCCTGACAAAAGTGAATCACAGATAGAATTGAATGTGAAATGGGGCAAAATAAGCTACACTTAACCTATAAATTAAAGTGAAGATACTAAAGAACTCTGACAGAGATCTGGAGGTGGTTCTGGATATTAAACTGTCACTATAGTATCACATCAAAGGTATAGTCTATTCTATACTAGCAAATTTCAAAATTGCATTTAAATGTATAGAGATACTGTATACTAAACAAAAATTTAATATTCATGAGACAAAAACTGGAATATGCTACAGTTTTGCAATGTCCATATTTCAAGAAGTCCACCACTGAACTAGAAAGGGGAAGTGCAAAGATATCCTACTAAATGGCTTCCAGAACTAAAACAAACTATAAGGACAGGCAAGAGGCAATTAAATACAGTATGCCAAAACTGGAAGATAGAAGGAAATAAAAGCAATATGATCACCAACTACAAAATACTGACAGGAATCAATGCAAGTGACAAGGAGGAATTTTTTTAAACCTGCAACAAAGAACAAGAGGCCAGAGATTCAAGATAAGGAAGAGGCCATAGATTTAAACAAAATTTGCAACAACAGTTGGAATAATTGGCACGAGCCATTTACGTGAGAATGTGGTGGATGCTAAAACCATCGACAGTTTCAAAAATCAAATGAGAATTATAGTAGAGATTGGACACTATGAGCATGGCTCTCATTTTGTAACTACGCTTGGGTAGTTATTATTGCTTGCATACCATGACAATGAATTTTATACCAAATCATTATTAATATAATTCAGATAAAACAAAAGTTTTACTTATGTGGTACGAGAATAAACAAAAATCCTAGGCAAATATTCTACCTTTATTAATAATACAATACTGATCCTCCAATATTGCTGAAAAACCCTATAGAGTTGCATTTACTATTTGCTAATACTGTACAAAGAAATATTGATACAAAGTCTTCATCTCCTGGAATTATAAAAAAAAATAAAGTTAAAAGAATTACAAAATGCATTTGCCCTGTGGTAAGACACAGCAAATGTTTGACTTCTACCATAGCTACTTAATGCCACGAAGATCTAAACTCCTCGGGCTGAGCTTCCCGTTTTTATATTCTCACTACATAAGCAAGCCTTTATATATAAACCCCATTTTTCAGAATGTATTTCTACAACCTTCACCAACAGATCTGAACTAAAGACTCTTCCTTTTGATACCATGCTCTTTGAAGTATTTTTTTTTTTTTTTGAGTGATATTTTTTGTTTTCACTTTATATTACTAAAAGGAAAATGAGGGACAATGATATGTCTTAAGTTCTGGATGAAACTATAATGTGCAAATATGTTTTCTTATATCACATCACATTCATATATATATATTTATATATATTATATATATATATATATATATATTATATATATACTGTATATATTTTATATATACTGTATATTTAAAAGGCTCTGTAAGACATGAAAAATTTCACTCTAGCTGATGACCACATTTCAGCGAGAAGTTGTTTCTACAGCCCTTTATTATAGTACACAGTCTCCGGTGCATTCGGTAGCTGGCGAATCTTCTCCTGTAACAGAAAAGGAAGATAAATTGAGACAACTACAGACATTAATGAAGGGAAAAAGAGGAGATAATGAAAGTTTTGGAGCTCTCACTAACAATTTTCTTCATTTCTAGCCAGCCTGCAGTTCCTGCCCTTCTCTTTCCTTTCCTTTCCCATCTTCTGTCCATGTTGACAGTAGTATTTAATCCATCAACTCATTGGCAACCCAACAGTCCTAGCTCAATTCTCACTAAGTAGGAAGTTGTAGTCTAATTCAGTTCAAGTTTGTTTCCCCAAGTATACAAGAATATAAGAATAATGGAAGCTGCAATAGGTCCATTGGCCCATACATGGAACTTCTAATTTATATCCACCCAAACCCATTCATATACACTTGACATACCCCTAGTCTCAGCAGTTTGTTCCAATCACAATGACTGGACACTTGGTCAATTCTCTAAACCTCAGAAATTCACAATTTCAAATGGGGGAAAATGTTGCCGTTTATGAAGCATCATTATTAAAAGAATCACACATTATGATTACACGACCTCAAAACATATAGAGTATAACGTTTGTATGACACCTTCAATTATCACCTGGTCAAGACACTAATGAACTGTACACTCAAGATGAAGTTCAAACAAAAATCTTGATAATAAAATGAAAATGAAACTAACCTGCAATTCTGGCTCTAGACTAGATACAGCAATGGACGACTTTTGAGGGAAGAGTGCACAGCAGGCTGGGGTGGCAAATGTGAGGCACACACCACACAGAGCTACTTGCAGTGGAGCAGATATCCATGGCCTACGCTGCAGGGTACCACGCTTTTCAAGGATATTCATGACAATAGGTGGTAATACTGGAAAGTGAAAAAGATTTAATTACTGTGTGTAAAATTATCATTCTTAATGAAATTAAAATATTTATATTAATTAATTGAAACCACATTTACAGGCAATATGTAGAAACTTTTAAAATGGACAGTGCCAAGCCAGGGAGACTATTTACCACCATCATACTTGCAGGATATTCAATAGGTGCTAAATATTACTAAGGATACCAATACAAGAACAAAAGGGCATAATGCGAGTGATATTAAAGGTATCACAGTCTGTATAGGGCTATAGAATGACTTAAGGATTCTAACGAGGTGCAAATGACCACAAGGGACAGCCCCACCCAAAGCAAACTCAAAAGATAAGGGGGATAAAAATAATCCTACCCTACAAAAGCAGACCCTGTGCAGAGAGCACAAAGTTTCTGGATAAATGCAAAATCAAATACAGTACAGTAATATGTGGTCCTTTGCCCAGTCTGGCTGTGTAGTTTGCGAGAGCCAAGATGGAAGCAAGATGGCAGCTTCTGGGAACTATCATAGTGTGGGTGCTGACATCTGGTAGCAGTCTAGGGTATGAAGCAAGTGACCAACAAATAATTAGAAGAACAATATTTAATCTATTGGAGGCCGAATATCACTTTTAGGAAATTTTTGAATGTAGATGAATAAGCCTTCTGAAGGTCATCCCAGAATGGAGAGAGAATTCAGGCGTTCCTTTTGAAGATATCCTGCTGTACCAGGAAGCAGAAGTTGACTTGGTCTATTGTGTTGCCATGTCCTTACAATAGTAGTACATTGCCTGAAGGACCAACCAATTAGTATTAGTTCAGACATTATGGTACCTGTATACATCCCTTTGGTACCCCTACATTAAGATACCATTACACAGTCAAAACTAAACTTTTTAACTTTCAATACAATCCTTATAAAACGAGGGTAAAGAAGTCACTATTACTAACTGGAGTACCACTGACATTAAACCCCTTGCAAATACAACATATTTTATTACATCCATTACAGAAAGAGTTAGCTACAACAGGATGCAAATTAAAATATATTAATATTACTGCATTCTATTAATGAATCATTCCAGAACAAATGACTTGTAGAATACCGAAACTCAAAAGGTATGCTTTCGGAAAATGACTACATTTTTCAGTATGTGGGTATTGTCTGAAAACCTTACTCACTAAAAATTATTAAACTCATTGAGAGCAGAGAGTCTGGTCATGATATTTGCCGAGGCCACTTATTCTGGAAAACTCTTAAGCAATATGTTCAAAACATCAATGCAGGTGCAGTTAGGGTCAATGCTTCTGTGAGAATAATGCTACGCAGTAGTTTCACATATGAAGCAATAGTACTGCCCAAACAAACTAATCTAAACTAACTAAACCTACCTTCAATATGTACCATACATAGATATGTTGATTTCAGCACCAGGATGCCCACACCTATCTGGTATAAAGAATTTGGTTCGTCACCAGCATCACACGAGCTGTAATACTAACCCGTGTGAAACTATCAATTGTACATCAATTGTACAGTTAACCGTCTGATGGCATACTATATATATAGCATAAAAAGCATTGTTGTATACATAACAAGTTTTGATGATAGAATTACAAAGAAGTAAATATCAAATCACAATAGTTTGAACAGCAAACCTAACCTTATTCTTGAGCAATAACAGCAAGAGTTGGTACACACAAATTAATCAAAATGTTACACCTCTCATGTCCAGCTACTATTACAAATAAGATTTTTTTATTAATAAACCACTTTTTAACTCATTATTTCTCAATAACATAATTCATTAAATACAATTTCAGTTACTAGGAAATGCAAACACTGAACTATAAACTCTACAATTATTATTTCTCAGAAGAAATAAAAAAATTACCATTTATTTTACAAATGTCTTGGAAGGGTTTGGAAAAAAGCGTTTATAAAGTAATATTAACCCAATACATGGCTTTCATGCTACGAGTATGGAACTACAAAGCAGAAACCAATTAAAAGCCGAAAACAGGCATGCTGTATACAAACACCAGTTCGACCTACTGAACTATGCTACAAAACTGGCAATGACTGCTAATACAGTATATAAATTAAAAGTTAATTTGACTTGCTCTAAGTATCCGTGCACACTTCAAGAAGTACTGCACAGCCTCCTTACCACAGCTGGGCACAGCCATAAGTATCCGAGACAGGGCAACCATCGCTACCCCCAACTGTGCTGCCTTCTTACTGTTCCCCATCACGTTGTTATCTTCGTCCAGAAGTACTACACCTATTTCATGCCACTCTCTTCATCATACAAGGGATGACATCTTATAGCAACAGTAAAAAATATCTTTAAAAGATTTACTAGGCATTTTCACCGTACAAACATGTTAAAAATTACTCACATTGCTAGTGATGCCAGTGTTTTACTCCTCCACAACCAGGCAATAAGCACAGGAGTCAGAAATTATCTTAAGACTTTTTTTTTCTTTTCTTTTTTTAACTATTCTTTATTTAACTTCAGTGATTCGAATATATTACTAATACAGTGTAGTACTGTAGAGTATTATATTATTCATTTTTTTCCAAATTTAATTTATAGCCAAACTTACTAATTGTTTGAAAGTGCCCATATTTAAGTCAATAACTGCTTGTGTTTTTTTTTTAATATTTAATATTCTATAGAAAGACTGAAGGATTCAAGAAAGGCTTTCTTGATAAAGATATGATAAAATCCCAGAGCATTCAGGCACAAAATTTTCCTGCAAAATTTAAAATTAAATGCTAAAATGCATTACTGTATATAAGGAATCTCTGTACTATAGGAATATTGTAACTGCACATAAAATACTCTGATAAGAATGAAGAGAAAACAAGAGGAAGTCAAAGTGAAGGACAGAGTTAATTAACCAATTACTTCATCAACTTAAAATATAAAGGAAGAACTGCATCATATATATACCACAGGCTTAAAGCTTGAATAGTTGGCCATTGCCCTGTGCAAGTGGGGCTCTGTACAATTCTTTTCAACACCATAATTTTAACTATATGAGTGGATTAATTTATTTACAAATTGGTGTATGAAGAGTCAAGCATTTGAAATAGTTTTAGAATGGTATGCCTAAAATACCACACCTTCTACCCCTCTATAATTAGAGAAATAAAATGTTCAAGCTTTTTTTTTTTTTTTTTTTTTTTTAATTTTCATAGGTCAAATCTTTGCCTTCTTGCTCTGTTCACTGTTAGAGGAAAAATCTCCTAAGGGCAGATAAATTGGCCAGAGATTTTGAGAGTGTTACAATGCCCCTCCTTTTCTATCTACCAATCTAGCTACGCTCAGTTCTTCTAGGCTGTTCAAGTTTTTCACTCAACTTTGAAAACCCTCTGCCCACAAACCTTTATTTAGAATTGGAAACTTCATTCATAACTTAAACAGTTATGAATGAAGCCACAAGTCTAGCCACAAGTATTACAATTGTGGCTAGACTAAACAGGAGTACATTCTAAATCATACAGCATGCGACTAAGCCCACCCAAGGAAAACGCATACCAAAGTTGGATAGTAAAATGGTAAATTTCTATGCGCTTACTACCGACAAAATAATTTTGAAAGCAAAACCAATTGAAGACAAGATATAAGCTAATGAAGCATCACTGCAGGAAAAAAAATAAGTTTTTCCTGCCAACAGAATGCTGGAAAGTTGGAATAGAATGCAGGAGAGGATTGTGTGAGATTCACAGAAATGTTTCAAGAATCAAATAATAAATTATATAAAGACAGACAGACATGAGCACAAGCTCACTTTCCCGAAACTTGGGTAAATGTACTCACATTATATATGCTATACATGATATACCTGTGTCCAAGTGGTCTATAGTCCAATAGGACTTTACTCCAAAACAGTGCACATATTCACTGTGCACAACACATGCACATTAGAATGCAAACCACACACGTGACTGTCTAATAAAAACACTAGTATACAACAAGAAAATATAATGTACTTTATTTAAGCCTTAACATTTGTAAAGCTGAACTAAACTTCCATAAACACTGATGCACATTGGATAGTTTCAAATTTACAACTAATATACAAAAGCCTACACACAAATGCATTCAAAGTCATTAATCTTGCAACAAGCTAGAGCAACGTAATAAACTTCACATTCATATCCTCTCTAAGAAGGAAACAAAATTCATGCTAATTAGTAACATTTCTAGCATTCAAAATCAAGACCAACCAAGACCTAGAATGGTATACAGTATAATCATTTTTAAATCTAAGTACCAATAACATTGAAATGTGGCTGCATAAACAATGATGGATATTAGACATTTCATAACAATGCAAAGCAAATAAGAAAACAGAAAGAGTCGTTTAACACAAGGTTGTCTTGTATCTCTAAATATTGCAGGCCAAAACACCCAATGTAAAGTTCACAGGTCGTACATAGTTAATAATTATAAGATCACACAAAATAATTATATAATGGAATACTGGTTATACTTGAGCGCTACTTTTTTCTAGTGGCAGACACCATGCATGTGTGTTCAATATAGATTAACTTGGGGTCTGGGAATAATGTGATGTAACCAGAGGGCTCGTATGGGCCACATACACGATGCATCACCAAATAGTTCACCTCATGGTTTCCCATACTCAAGACAGGAAAACTGTTAGGCTTTTCAAGGTCCTTATAGGCCAACTACTGCCTTTCCAGGATGCAACCTTCAACAGTTGCATAATTCCTAGGTACCTATTTACTGCTAAGTAAACAGACATCAGGTTAAAGGAAATGTTGCCCAAACACTTCAGTACTACAAGAATCAAAACCGGGATCTTTTGGCTGCGACTCAACTCTACTTACCACTGTGCCACAGGGCCAATCAATGAGGGCAGGACAGAATCCCACATAAACACAATAGTGCAAAAGCATTCCGTGTAATCGTTAAACAAATATTTACATCTTGCTGATAAATTTTAATTACAATAAGCAATAAAACACATACAGTACTGAAAAGTACATTCCTACTCAAACAGAGGTTCAATTGCAACAACTTCTGGTTGTAGAAATTAGACACAGAGTGCATAGTGCCCTATTTGAAATGTTTCTCAAGGCAAAATTTGGCTCAGACAGAACAGGTTGACATGCTGCACCAGAGCAGCAAGGACCTTTATAAATGTTTCTGCCAGCAACATCAGGTATAGAATCATATGGGGAAGCTTTAACAACCTGCCAAAGACAATAAACCCCATAGAGACAAGTCTCTGGCTGTCTGAACTTTGACAGGCAGGTGTGATGGGTTCAGGGAAAGCATCCCATTGAAGCAAACACCAAACCCAAAATCTTGAACATTCAGTGAGGAAGGGCCTAAGAAACCACATATCGTAAAATTCACGTACACAACCAAAGTGATCCCTCGGATAAATTACAAGGCCCCTAATAGAAAGGAGCAGGAGCAGCAAGATGAGCACATCTTTAACATGCACAAGCAAAGTCAGAATGTTTTAAAGTGTTGTATTTCCACATCTAAGTAAAAAAGACTTGCTTCCTCCCCCACCTTTATATCAACAGGCCTTGCAGGGGAGAGTAAATATTTGAAAACAAGGAGTCAGCTCAGGAGCCCACAACCCCTCAGAGCAGGTATCTCTGGTGGGGTATAGGAAAACCCAAGCTGATGTGAAGGAAGGGAACACCGGCCACTGCCGGTGAAATGGAATGCTAGGTTGCACAAATTGTGGGTGGCATAACAATAATGAAGCATAAATTTAAACTAAAGCAGACAGACAGAATGAAATGCTTCAGGAAAAGCAAACACTACCTAGCTGAAAGCAAGACGCTGGTTAGGCCCAGCAGAGGTTTCAGGCATTGGATGGGATACACTATATTGAAGAGTGAAGTGGTAAGCTGAATATATTCTGAGGTGACCTAGGTTGCTACCTGATGGTGGTCAGGCACATCACAGTCAGGGCACTGTATTTATCCCATGGCAATGATCATTTACCCTGTTTAACTAGGGGTGCCTAATTTACTTCCAGAAGTCAAATGTTTTGTTGTGTCTGCTATCCCCAGTTTATGGTTGTTCACAATTCCTTGCTCCCCTCATCTCATGGAACAAGCCAGAGTCTGGTCCAGGCTCCAGGCAGGCAAGATGGGCCCCAGAGTCCTGGTGTGTTAGCCAAGGTTTGATGGTACCAGAAATATGCTTAGGGACCTAACAAGGAATCCCTTCCAGAAATAGTAGCAAGCTTAATACACACTTTCCCGAGTAAGAATGAGTAGGAATCGTTATGAACCTCCAGAGTTTCCTCTCACTTCATCCTACCCATGCATGGTTCACCATCTTTCGGATCCCCTTGGTTAGTTTCGAAACCATGGAAACTATCATTATACTATACTATATTCCATGAAACTATACATGGAATCACTACATTTATAAAAGGACAATATATATTTGATCCATCACCCCTGTCCACCCACCCACAACTCTATATTCATCCACTGAATATGCAATATAGTGCTGTACTGTGCATACCATGCAAGAATGGAACATTTAAAACATGATGTAACCATTTTCTTAAGCACAGATAAATTAATGTATGTGGTTATCATACATTAATTCCTTGGGTAATGTGATTAATATGTATTGATTTCAGTTATTATCATCCAGTTATATATACATCTCATATTATATATTACACAGTATATATGATGTAATACTTCTTTATGGTTGAAATGGAGGTAATCTATGCATATGAACAAAATTCTGCCACCATTTTCAAGTGTTTCTTATCAATGAGGTTTTCTTACATCACAAGCAAGGAAATCATCATCAAATCATAATTTGGTGCTTACCTCCCATGTTTGAATCTATTTCTGGATAACATTACCTGCCAAAATTACAGCACAGAGCAGGCTGCAAGACATGTTCATCTTATACTCTCCCACCTCACACATTTTGCCCGAAACGCTATGCATATTTGTGGCTTTAGGCCTATGTACAGTAATAGCTCTATCTAAAAAGCCAACATTCTGTTTGTAACTCATTTTGAATGTATGTACTTTTAACTGAATAAACATTATCATATTGCTGCTTCTAAAATAATGGCTGTCAAAGGATGAACTAATACAAACCCATGCCAGGTGCGGCCATCATGATTCGGGAAACACACACAGCACCGATGCCCCATTTGGCCGCTGTCTTGCTCTGGCCCACTTTGTTGCCATTCTGGTCCAAGAGTGTCACTCCATCCTGAAGCTCCCTATATGGTGATTTACACATTGATGCTACAAATATGTAATGCAATCACTGCAGCTTGACAGTTGCCAAAACAAATGTTTTAGGCTCAAGCACAATACAGTATATACTAGTGTGAATTATTCATAAATTAAATTTCTTTCTGGTCCTATACTGTATTATCAAATGTTATACAGACAGAAGCATTTCACCAAGAAAATTAGGCCAAGTGATTAAAACACTTTTCTTTTCCTTATCAATTAAGTAAACTTTAAATTTAAGCTCCAATACTATACACAAAAATTTACATGAAATAATCAAATCCCATCATAAAACCTAATAAATACTAACCAATTATGATTTACTAATATCCATAATGTTGTTTATGCAAGATTAATCTAGGCCCATTAAATTAAACTTTTATGACTCGTGTATTCATTACCATATGCAGCAAATTATTATTAATCGATTCTGGATATTCTACAGGTTAGTATGTATCATTATGTTTATTAATTTTACCATGCTTGCAATAATTAAAAGCAAAATTAAAACTTCATGCTTTTTTTTTTTAACTGCTACAACTAAGAGCACTAATTTTCACACAAAATCTAACTAATCGAGATAAAAACATTCCCCCCCCCCATTTCTGGTGAATGATCGCCCTGCAACACCGCCATATTTGGGTAATAAGGCAGTGTTGCAGAGCGACATTAACCCCTTTTACTGGATAATGTAAAAGGGTTAATGATCTGGAGAATGCTCACAGGTGCTTCCATGGTTCCATTGTGCATGCAGGCCAAGTGCCAAGACATATGGATATTTCATCATGTCTGCAAATGTTTTGGCATTTGCACATGATCACTATGTCATATGATACAACAATAATGAATATTGCATAATGGATTTTCCTTGAATCTTCAAAGTTGAGTGCCTCACCAACCAAGTAAACAAAGCCATGAAGATATTTCCATTATTTTAAGTTTGTGCAGTTATTTATTATTATATGGCTATATTTTTGTCACTTATAATGTTCATAAATAATTTATCTATTTCACTGCATAAAGAAAATCAATATTGTATGACAAATGTTCTGAGAATTTGTAAAACAGCTGCATCAGAATGTAACAAGTTTTCATGCTGCCCTGAGTGGCATCAACCCATCAATGTTAAAAAGAAAATTTACAATTTAAACAGTTTATAATTTAATTTCATAACTTTTTTGTAGTCAAAATACATATGAAAGTAATAATCATTAATAAATGTTTAAGAACCTGGAAAATATTTTGTCATTTGTGCCTGAATTAAAAAATTATTAATATATTTTAAGAAGTCTATTGTCATGTTAAGACAATTACTTTATGTCAATTATAATATAGTCAAACTACTGTACAGTATTCCCAATTTTGGCACATTAATAAATAGGAAATAGTGATAAAAATGAATTAAGTTGACTTACTTCATCCTCATCATAGGAATGTTAACACAATTGGCAGCTGCCACAGCTGTGAAGGGCACAAGACGTCCAATTAAAGGAGGCATACTCTGTAAACAAACCCAGATAAGAGCATAAGAATAAAAGAAAATACCAGAAGGCCTAATGACCCATCGAGGGCACTGCCTATTTATATCCACCCAAACCCATTCATGTGAGTCTAACCTATGCTTAAAACAAATTGATTCCACATCTATTATGTTACATGGTAATGTTCCACAGATCAACAACATTGAACACAAGAACAAAAGAATTAAGGAAAATACAGAAGGCCTATCAACTCATACATGGCAGCTCCTATTTATATCCACCCAAACTCATTCATATACTATATACGTCTAATCTATGCTTCAAATAATCAAGGGATCCCACATCTATTATGTTACCTGGCAATTTGTTCCATAAATCAATAACCCTGTTTCCAAAACACTATTTACACAAGTCTTTTAAATATAAACTTATCCAATTTATATCCAAACTGTTTCGGGTTGTATTTTGTGCCGATATATTTAACAATCAACTATAAATATCAACACAGTGTATGTACTGTGTTGAACAAAACTTTGAAATTTATCACTGTACCTTAACTAAACTATTCAAGCCAAGGGCTGTGATTAGAGCTCCTCCAGTTGCAAGTACGTATGATGTTCCAAGCTGCCTGGAAAAGAAAATGTCAATATCACGGCTGCCTCTCGAAGTCCATTATTATTAGCCTTCAAGTTTGAAAATGACGAGCTTAATCTTGCCAAAACTATTACCCACAAAGCCACTTGCAGTCAGTGATCTGTGTGACATAGCATAAAGAGAAGGCCCAAGAAGACTAGACAAACAAATTATTCCTCAATATAATTCACTGTACAAGTACACAATGCAACACATCTGCATGTCAAAACTCACAAATTGTATTTGCAAACAAATTTGCTTTGTTAAATTTAAACCCTTTACATTTCACTTCTCAATTAGCATGCGACACTTTCCAGTATAAAAAGAAAAAAAAAACAAAAATATGGCCAAATTTTGCCTTGGTTGTCTCCATTAGTAATCTAATAAAAATTATCGGCACCTTTCCTAAGTTTCATAGTGATTAGATACACACCAGGAAAGTAATGGAAGATTATCAACTTATCAAGAGAAAAATAGGGTGAAATATATGGCAAGTGACTTTATTTATATATACAGTATATACTGTACAAGAGTTTTTACATTCTTGTACAGCCACAAGCACGTATAGCATTTCAGGCAAGTTCTAAATCCTAATTTTCACATTAACAGCTACACATTAAAAATTATATAAAGTATGTGATCCATGACCTTTTTTTAAACATATTCCAGTAAATGGTATTCTATATATTTTAAATACCTCTTACGGGCTATTCATGCCCGTGCCACCTCTTGGATGGCTTAATCTTCATCAATCAATAAATACTGCAGGGTCAGGGATATGTATATTATACAGTATATACATATATATACTTCTTACATTGGCTTATAGTTTTATCTTGCTCATTCATATAATATTACAGTTGATTTGTGTATGGAATACATATACAGTACAGTACACTAATTTTTTTCCTATCAAATTGGAGCATATCCCCAGGAGATTTGGTTAAAATATTATCTAGCCTATGTAAGTTGGAGACCTTAACAGGGGTCAGACTAGTTTTTTACCATGATCTAATTATCAGATCTCTGGGTTGTCCAACCACTGTTTGTACAACACGAGCTCTTAACCAGACTTCGTTTCACGTTACAATCTCCCATTTACCCAATTTTTTTCTAGATTCTCTGGCTGATTATCAGACAACACAGAGCCTTTATATAAACCAAGCATTGGTCAGGTAATCCCAAGATATGGATAACAGAATATAATGCAGCACAATTAATGTGTACTCACTTCCCACTAATTGGAGTCTCTCCAGAGCGGTTTGTGTAATTGACGATAGCATTGAAAGACTGGTTGATCCACTGCCAGAACACAACTGCTGGAGTTGTCCTATAAAAATATATTATATTCACCATTTAATTACATGTAAAATTAAATACACAAATTACATCCAAACACATGCTTTCTGGACACAAGCTACTTGCATTCATAAATTTCTAATTTTTGGTAGTTCTAGATTGTTGCAAGAGCAGCAGAAGCACAAGGCCTTGTAATGTAAAAGGCCAGCCACTTGCATTAAAGGCCACATGAATGCCTCAAAATGCAATGAACCTAGCTGTGCTTTAGTTTGTTACAAAGCACTAATTGATTTCCTTTGTATCTCTAAACAAATCTCCAAAATATTGAAATATCCTTACATAATATCGCCATCAAATGCAAGAAATGTTCAGTGATGACTTCAACACAAAGGTTAACAAGTGTGTTAAAAGCAATGAAATGAGAAACTAGAGCTAAAAAAAGGACAAGAGCAGTATCAGCATTTGAAAACATGTTGAGTGCGTTGTGCACCAAGTGAATGAGACAACTTTTTAGATATTAAGACTAAATTTATTATCTTTTTTACAAGTTTTTTCAAAATGACAGTGATAAAGCAATATATAACAGAAAGGCAGTGAATCGAGATAGGGTGAAATGTAGATGATCCAGTGTGGTAGTGGAGTAAAGTGGTTCAAATAATGGGCCAATGACATCATTAAAAATTTCTACCACTAACTTGTATAATGAATTGATTCTTTTTACAGGGTCCACAAAATGTAATAATTACATAGTACATGAACAAAAGGAAAAGGAAACTTATAATTAAAACCAGCTCACTTGTAGAAAGTCAGCATACATCCAGTGATAGTCATGTTCATGGGAACTTGTGCAGACATACGGCCAATCAGCATCATCTTTTCCCCGGTGTCGGGGTGGAAAGCAGAGTCGTAAATACTTTTTGCCCTCCATATCGCATCTTCTGATAAATTTACTTCCTCTCCATTCCTGTAAACAAATTATTTCTTATTTCAACTGATACTGTATCTGCACATGTTGAATTGAATGCAAGGATTGAACAAGCATATACTGATCAACCATACATGGCATATAAGGGATAATGAGTACATGAATTAAGCAACGGTTAAGAAATATACATCAACCAGCACAACCAGACTTCAGCACAAATAATCTAGAAAAAGATAAGACATTGTAGTACATAGCTCTCACTTTGCAATTACACTTAAGTAATTACAAGGACTTTGGTACTCTAACAAAAGCACAAGTTTAAATGAGCATTAAAGCAAATGGGTGTGTAGTTAAATATAAGGGTAGAACCAAATATGTATTCAGAACTAAATTTGTGGGGCCACTTGTGCATGTAGAATAATGCAAATGAAGAACAAAATGCGAGTGTTTGGCTAAATATGAAAATGGGATCATATGAGTGTTTTTCCAATCAATCTAGCCTAATATACTCATTCCTGTACTTGTACACTTTCCTAGAAAATATGTCATTTACAATATTATCCACTAACCATGTTAAGCTGTTTTTATGTTTTTAACCTGTTCTAAGACCCAAACCTTTATATCTCTGGATTTCAATAGAAATTTCTTTCAGAACATTAAACAATATTTACTTCTTTCCATTAACAAAATATCAAATTACCATTATTCAAATACTGTATTGTAGTCAATTTCAAAAACATGAAAGCGAGATTCACTTCAATACCCTTGACTAAGGTCAGAACTTAACAGTACTGTACAGTGGAACCCCCCATTATCCAGATCCCCAATTTCACAATATCTGGACAGTAATTCAAGTTCTTTAGCCCTCAAAATGCAGCTATCAAAATTGACCCTTTGCTTATGCAGCATGAAAGTTTCTATAGAATGACATTTTAAATACAAAATGGAAAAGAAAAAATATACTGTATATCTTTTCTGGCTTGGCAAGCTGTAGAAGAAATGTAGGTGGAGGGGTTCAAGGTACTCATCTATGCCAGAAATATACGCATCTATGCCAGAAATAACTAAATAAATAAATAAAAAAGTGAAGGTTGCTGGCAGTGTTATGGGGGCACACACATGCTTCCTTTGCATGTTTTTATTTTCAATGCATCACTTAGTTTATAAAATTTAATGTTTGCATTGAATAAGTATTTATGTACTCATAATTAACAAAAACTGATCGAGTACTGTATATAGGCCTACAATGTAATACATGGAGTTCCCTAGGCACATATACATGGAGGCAGCATATGTGGAAAACACATGCTGCCTCACTCAGTATTTTCAACCCTGGGAATTGACATCTTCTGCATTCTGTGGACTTTCAGTCATCTATCAAGAGGGGAAAACACCACAGATGCATCAACTCTGGTTGGGGCTTTGTGATCAGTGCTTCCCAGGCCACCCTGGGTCAGAGGTCAAGTCCGCTTCTTCAGTCACACGGAGATACCAAATCTCGGGATAGGACCGAGGCAAACAGGCAAGCCTCAAGCAGCTCAAAAGGAAGAACTGCCCAGAAACTACTTAAAAAACCATTCCCACACAGTAATATCCAGTTTATATACTTTGCTTTAACATACTATTAGCCAACATACAGTATATAAATGTCTTAAGGGTACGTAATTAATTACATTTATGGAGTGGACACTAATGTTAACTGTATTTATGATCATATTTACCTGTATTTAGTTACAACATCTTTGGCTACTTCTAATTCAGATGGTGAACACAAAAGATTAAGAGGGTTGGTGATGGTGAAGAAATGCTTGGCACGACCCTCATATGTGCTCTGATCCCACCGTGGTTCATCAATGTTAATCCGGCTCATCTTGTTTCTGAAATTATACAGTGCAGGTATTCAGTATATTATAAATAATTAATACAAGCACCAACCCCACAACAAGATTTAAGCTAAGGAAACAAAGCTGCAAATTAAAAAAAAAAAGTTCAATTTTGTAAAAGTGGTAGACAGTTGGACCAAGTTAACAATTTATAAAACAGTATTTATAATTTATTGTGTCGGTGGGTAGGCAGCCAGTGTGTATATATGTTAGGCCCATATTAAGGTCCCCCAAAGGTCAAATTAATAACCCTCCCCCAGGATGCAACCCCACAAGCTGACTAACTCCTGGGTTCCTATTTACCACTAGGTGAACAGAAGCATTACATAATGGGAAATGTGCCTATTTCTGTTGCATCCGAGACTCTCAGTAAAGTTGTACAACAAACAACTCAAAACAAAGGCCTTCTGGTGGACGTAGTATACACAGATTTTCTCAAAGCCTTTGATAAGATACCACATGAAAGACTAGCAAGGAAATTACAGACAGATGAAATAAATGATAAAATACTAGAATGGTTAAATCTAGAAAGAAAAATGGTTGTGTTAAATGGGAATGAATCCGACTGGAGAAATGTGGTACTTTGGGTACCACAGGGATATCCCAGCTAGGCTGGGATATCCGATGGAACTGCCTACCTGCCATAGCTGTAAATGCCTAAACACTGCCGAATTTTAAAATGCTGTATAGCTTAAAAATTCCTCAGGACAAATGGAGGGACCTTTAACAAGCAGCGGGCCTTGTGTCCTCAACCAGGCCACTATACAGTAGTTAGTAGCTCTCGGGTAAATTCTGGTAAAATTTCTCATATTTGGCCACTGCAATGATTTGCAGTGGCCAAATACAATGATATTGATATACAATGATATACAATGATATACAATGATATACAATGATATACAATGATATACAATGATATACCTGCAATGATTTGCATGCCTGTGGTTTTTATTAAATATAAATCTATGGAACTACTGATTTAACAAATGTATCATGTTCTTTAGACATTTTTTGTTAATAAAATAGTTATTATACATTCAATGAATTAAAAATATTTCAATTTCAAATATTTTCAATTTTGATAAAAATTACCTACTTAAAATTATCTGTTAGATTAAGGACGTACCCAAAACGCTCTGTGTTAGTGGCTTTACAAGAATGTAAAGATATCAATGCTATGTACTCTCATAAACCCAATGTACCTTCTTTTGCATATATAAATAAATAAGTAAATACATATAAAGTGAGATTTTATGTACGAAAAGATTAGTGTGCGACACGCCAGTTGACAAGCGACAATACCCTTCACGAGTTAGTTCAGGCCTGAAAATTAATACAAAAGGTATCTCGTTTGCGAAGAGAAATGGCACAGACATAAACGCCTCCGGACCAGCTGTTACACCACACAGAACCAGCTAGACCAGTGCCAGACCAGTGCCAGACTAGTGCCACCCCGTGTACGAAGATGTTTCTCCGGCGGCAGAGACGTCGTCTGCAGACCGGCGTCCCGGCCCTCAACACTCTCATACCCACAACCTACTCCTGCTATGACACGGTCGTACCCTGTCAACTCCTTTATGAGCCTCACTTAACTATATGCCTACGGTGGAGGCTGACGAAACAACTTCTAAGAGTGGAGAAACTTTATATTAAGAAGAGAATGTTTTCGTGATGCTGGCTGCCACCTGCTGGTCCGGGGTGAAAGCGTAACATAGAAAACGGAAATCTTGACCGGACATCATTAGTAAATATGAGATGGATTCTCTAAGATAAAAGTTCTTAACCGGTGGGTATTCATACCTCTTAGGACACCTTTAGTAACTATAAGATATATTCTCTAAGACAAGAGTTCTTAACCGGGGGGGAGTTCATACCTCTTAGGACACCATTAGTAATTATAAGATGTATTCTCTAAGACAAGAGTCCCTAACGCATAAATTCACTACACAATTGAGGTTCTTATTTGCGTCTTATTTCATTGTAAAAGGAGTTAATTTCCAAACAGGGTTGTATAAATAAATCTTATCTTATCTTTGCATTCAATTTTGTACGGTAATTTTTCAAACTTAAAATGTAAATAGCTATATATATATATATACCCCCTCTAAATGAAAAATGGCCTAATTTAACATATGTGCTAAAAATATTAACATAAATAATTCGTTTGTTAGATAATAAGATATTCATAGCAATAAGGTTTCTTGGAATGGCCTATAATGCACGCAAATACTAGTTTACGCACTTTTCGGGGAGTACGAATGGAATTTCAAAATGGCGTTCAAACGGCGGTTGGTCGTTGAAGGTTCTGGCGCTCAGTATCGTCGGTGCCGCCATCGCGACAACATGTACTGCTGATTTCCGACATCAGCAACATTGCTCCAGGTAAGAGTGATAATTCTTTTTGACATATTTATATCTTATATATACACACTATATAGAATTATATAATATAATGGAGTTTGCATCGAACAATGCCTATCAATGTTAGTTTAGTTCGTTTATTATGCACCCCATACCCATCTTGTGGGCTACCTTGAGGTGCTTTTGGCTTAGTGTCCCCGCGGCCCGGTCGTCGACCAGGCCTCCTGGTTGCTGGACTGATCAACCAGGCTGTTGGACGCGGCTGCTCGCAGCCTGACGTATGCGTCACAGCCTGGTTGATCAGGTATCCTTTGGAGGTGCTTATCCAGTTCTCTCTTGAACACTGTGAGGGGTCGGCCAGTTATGCCCCTTATGTGTAGTGGAAGCGTGTTGAACAGTCTCGTGCCTCTGATGTTGATAGTTCTCTCTGAGTACCTGTTGTACCTCTGCTGGGCGGTAGTGGAAAGGGTTAGAGGCATATAATGGGCTCAGGGACTGAACCCCACAATTCATTTAGCTAAGCAAGTTACAATCTTGAATCGTCACATCAACAATGGTTCGAGATCGACCTCAAGTACAGGTTCTAAATTAAGCACCTGACATATGTGGAGAGCTAGTGTCACAATTTATGTTTGTCCTGCACACCGCCCCCCATCCAGTGGGCAGCGGTGGATAGGTTACAATCACTCGGTTACTACCTACAGTTAGCAGACTGGGGATATTTGGCTAAAATTTCTGGTAGATCAGGTCCCCCATTTGTTCAGATTTTTTTTCAAATTGGATTTTACAATTCAAGTGTTATGTTATTTACTGCTTTAGCAGATAGGCGGTTCCATGGGTTTATAACCCTGTGGGTGAAAATATAGCTTATGTTTTCAGTCCTACACTGCGGCTTGTTGGACTTGAAACCGTTGTTCCTTGTTTGTGTTCCATCTGACCTTTTGAAGTTGTTCTCTGGATCCATATCTTCGAAACTGTTCAATATTTTAATAGGCAGGCGATGAGTCACAATAACGTGGCTGAAGTATGTTGACCAGACCACACACTAGAAGTTGAAGGGACGACGAGTTTCGGTCCGTCCTGGACCATTCTCAAGTCGATTCAAGTCGATATTTTAATAGTTTCGGTGAGATCCATCCTGGCATATGCCTAGTTTGCAGTGTTGTTAGCCCTGTGACCCTCAACCGTTCATGGTATGAAACTAGACCTCATTCTGCAATTATTTTTGTCGCCTGGTGTTCAATTTTCTCCATGAAAGGTTGGGCGCGGGGTGGGTTCTCTGTCGGCCTCCAAGTGGGTTCTCTGTCGGGCTCCAAGTGGGTTCTCTGTCGGGCTCCAAGTGGGTTCTCTGTCGGGCTCCAAGTGGGTTCTCTGTCGGGCCCCAAGTGGGTTCTCTGTCGGGCCCCAAGTGGGTTCTCTGTCGGGCCCCAAGTGGGTTCTCTGTCGGGCCCCAAGTGGGTTCTCTGTCGGGCCCCAAGTGGGTTCTCTGTCGGGCCCCAAGTGGGTTCTCTGTCGGGCCCCAAGTGGGTTCTCTGTCGGGCCCCAAGTGGGTTCTCTGTCGGGCCCCAAGTGGGTTCTCTGTCGGGGCTCCGGGGTGGGTTCTCTGTCGGGGCTCCGGGGTGGGTTCTCTGTCGGGGCTCCGGGGTGGGTTCTCTGTCGGGGCTCCGGGGTGGGTTCTCTGTCGGGGCTCCGGGGTGGGTTCTCTGTCGGGGCTCCGGGGTGGGTTCTCTGTCGGGGCTCCGGGGTGGGTTGTCGGTCGGGGCTCCGGGGTGGGTTGTCGGTCGGGGCTCCGGGGTGGGTTGTCGGTCGGGGCTCCGGGGTGGGTTGTCGGTCGGGGCTCCGGGGTGGGTTGTCGGTCGGGGCTCCGGGGTGGGTTGTCGGTCGGGGCTCCGGGGTGGGTTGTCGGTCGGGGCTCCGGGGTGGGTTGTCGGTCGGGGCTCCGGGGTGGGTTGTCGGTCGGGGCTCCGGGGTGGGTTGTCGGTCGGGGCTCCGGGGTGGGTTGTCGGTCGGGGCTCCGGGGTGGGTTGTCGGTCGGGGCTCCGGGGTGGGTTGTCGGTCGGGGCTCCGGGGTGGGTTGTCGGTCGGGGCTCCGGGGTGGGTTGTCGGTCGGGGCTCCGGGGTGGGTTGTCGGTCGGGGCTCCGGGGTGGGTTGTCGGTCGGGGCTCCGGGGTGGGTTGTCGGTCGGGGCTCCGGGGTGGGTTGTCGGTCGGGGCTCCGGGGTGGGTTGTCGGTCGGGGCTCCGGGGTGGGTTGTCGGTCGGGGCTCCGGGCAGGCTTTAGGTACTCAACTGGCGGGCTCTGGGTGGGTGACTGCTCGGGCTCCAGGTGGGTGTCTGTCCGGCTTCGGGTGGGTTCTTGGTAGGGTTTGGGGGGTGTGGGTTCTTGGTAGGGCTTGGGGGGGTGTGGGTACTTGGTAGGGCTTAGGGGGGGGGTGTGGGTTCTTGGTAGGACTTGGGGGGGGGTGTGGGTTCTTGGTAGGACTTGGGGGGGTGTGGGTTCTTGGTAGGACTTGGGGGGGGTGTGGGTTCTTGGTAGGGCTTGGGGGGGTGTGGGTTCTTGGTAGGGCTTGGGGGGGTGTGGGTTCTTGGTAGGGCTTGGGGGGGTGTGGGTTCTTGGTAGGGCTTGGGGGGGTGTGGGTTCTTGGTAGGGCTTGGGGGGGTGTGGGTTCTTGGTAGGGCTGGGGGGGGTGTGGGTTCTTGGTAGGGCTCGGGGGGGTGTGGGTTCTTGGTAGGGCTCGGGGGGGTGTGGGTTCTTGGTAGGGCTCGGGGGGGTGTGGGTTCTTGGTAGGGCTCGGGGGGTGTGGGTTCTTGGTAGGGCTCGGGGGGGTGTGGGTTCTTGGTAGGGCTCGGGGGGGTGTGGGTTCTTGGTAGGGCTCGGGGGGGTGTGGGTTCTCTGTAGGGCTCGGGGTGGTTCTTGGTAGGGCTCGGGGTGGGGTCTCGGTAGGGCTCGGGGCGGGCTCCAGGTACTCAACTGACGGGTTCCAGTTCACTCAACTGGCGGGCTCCGGTTCACTCAACTGGCGGGCTCCGGTTTATTAAACTGGCGGGCTCCGGGTGTTTGACTGGTCGGGCTCCGGGTGGGTGACTGTTCGGGCTCCAGGTGGGTGTCTGTCCGGCTTCGGGTATGTTCTTGGTAGGGCTTCGGGGTGGGTTCTTGGTAGGACTTAGGGTTGGCTCCCGGTCAGGCTCAGGGTGGGCTCTTTCGGGTTCGGGATGGGCTCTCGGGCTTGGGGTACCTCTGTAGGGCTCGGGGTAGGTTCTTGGTCGGGCCCAGGGTGGGTTCTCTGTAGGGCTCAGGGTGTTTTCATGGTAGGACTAGGGGTGGGTTCTCTGTAGGGATCAGGGTGGGTTCTCGGTAGGGCTCTGGGTGGGTTCTCGGTCGGGCTCGGGGCGGGCTCCAGGTACTCAACTGACGGGTTCCAGTTCACACAACTGGCGGGCTCCGGTTCACTCAACTGGCGGGCTCCGGTTTACTAAACTGGCGGGCTCCGGGTGTTTGACTGGTCGGGCTCCGGGTGGGTGACTGTTCGGGCTCCAGGTGGGTGTCTGTCCGGCTTCGGGTGGGTTCTCGGTAGGGCTTGGGGGTGGGTTCTCGGTAGGGCTTGGGGTGGGTTCTCGGTAGGGCTTGGGGGTGGGTTCTCGGTAGGGCTTGGGGGTGGGTTCTCGGTAGGGCTTGGGGCTGGGTTCTCGGTAGGGCTTGGGGCTGGGTTCTCGGTAGGGCTTGGGGCTGGGTTCTCGGTAGGGCTTGGGGCTGGGTTCTCGGTAGGGCTTGGGGGGTGGGTTCTCGGTAGGGCTCGGGGGGCTCTTTCGGGATCTCGGTAGGGCTCGGGGTGGGGAACCTCTTTAGGGCTCGGGGTAGGCTGGTCGGGCTTGGTGGGTTCTCGGTAGGGCTCGGGGCGGGCTCCAGGTACTCAACTGACGGGTTCCAGTTCACTCAACTGGCGGGCTCCGGTTCACTCAACTGGCGGGCTCCGGTTTACTAAACTGGCGGGCTCCGGGTGTTTGACTGGTCGGGCTCCGGGTGGGTGACTGTTCGGGCTCCAGGTGGGTGTCTGTCCAGCTTCGGGTGGGTTCTTGGTAGGGCTTGGGGTGGGTTCTTGGTAGGTATTAGGGCAGGGTTCTTGGTAGGGCTTGGGGGTGGGTTCTTGGTAGGGCTTGGGGGTGGGTTCTTGGTAGGGTCTTGGGGTTGGCTCCCGGTCAGGCTCGGGGTGGGCTCTTTCGGGATCGGGATAGGCTCTCGGGCTTGGGGAACCTCTGTAGGGCTCGGGGTAGGTTCTTGGTCGGGCTCAGGGTGGGTTCTCGGTAGGGCTCGGGGCAGGCTCCAGGTACTCAACTGACGGGTTCCAGTTCACTCAACTGGCGGGCTCCGGTTCACTCAACTGGCGGGCTCCGGTTTACTAAACTGGCGGGCTCCGGGTGTTTGACTGGTCGGGCTCCGGGTGGGTGACTGTTCGGGCTCCAGGTGGGTGTCTGTCCGGCTTCGGGTGGGTCCTTGGTAGGGCTTGGGGTGGGTTCTTGGTAGGTATTGGGGCTGGGTTCTCGGTAGGGCTTTGGGCTGGGTTCTCGGTAGGGCTTTAGGGCTGGGTTCTCGGTAGGGCTTGGGGGGTGGGTTCTCGGTAGGGTTTGGGGGGGGGGGTTCTCGGTAGGGCTTGGGGGGGTGGGTTCTCGGTAGGGCTTGGGGGGGTGGGTTCTCGGTAGGGCTTGGGGGGGTGGGTTCTCGGTAGGGTTCTCGGTAGGGCTTGGGGGGGTGGGTTCTCGGTAGGGCTTGGGGGGGGTGGGTTCTCGGTAGGGCTTGGGGGGGTGGGTTCTCGGTAGGGCTTGGGGGGGTGGGTTCTCGGTAGGGCTTGGGGGGGGTGGGTTCTCGGTAGGGCTTGGGGGGGGGGTTCTCGGTAGGGCTTAGGGGGGGGGTTCTCGGTAGGGCTTGGGGGGTGGGTTCTCGGTAGGGGTCGGGGTGGGCTCTTTCGGGATCGGGATAGGCTCTCGGGCTTGGGGAACCTCTGTAGGGCTCGGGGTAGGTTCTTGG